CCCCCCTGCCCCCCAAACTCATCCAAACTAACCTTAATAAAGACGCCCACCAATTTAAAAAGATTCCTCTGTTTCATTGATAGTTTATATTTACAATTTTTTTCATAACAGAATTTTGAAAATCTACTTTACAAAAGAATCTGGAATTAAGTCTCTAATCCCTCTACAATTTTAATATGAAGTGTTAACCATTGATATTTCTCATTTAGATTATTTGATCTCTCAGAATTCAATTGAAGGTCTACGACATTGGATTGCAAAGATATAGGGATCAGAAAACCAGAGTTTGTGGCAAAGGCTCAATTCCTTTTCTAATGCCTTTCACCAAAGGGTGTTGATATTTGATTTTTAAACTTAGGTTATTCGATCCACCAGAATTCATAATTTGAAATATCTAAGGTCTACGACAATATCTTTGCAACCTGGTGATGAAACCTTTGATATTTCTTGCAAATATTATTTGATCAAATAAAATTCATTGTTTGAAATACCTAAAGTCTACGACATTGATGTTATAATTGATAAGTGAGGAGTGGGGAACTGAGAAAGAAAAAGGCCAAGTATAGTTTTCTAAATTTCTTTTCAAACTTTTCAAACTTATCTCATCTTTTCTTCCTTATTCCACTCCCCTTTCCTTTTTAATGGTTTAACTTTGCTATTTATAATTTGAATATGTTGAAACAAGATAAAATTTCTAACTTTGAGCAGAAAACTTGCAGATATTGGAAACCCAGTCTTAATTAAATACCTAAGTAAATTAATTGTGTTCTAATATTATTCATACAAGGACAGAGTGTTTCTAAGAAATATATCGGCTGGACCGATTGGGCTGACATTTTTTGTGGACACTCATGGGTAGCCTGGGAGTGTCTTAGGCTAAAAAAATAATTTTTTTTCAAATTTATNCCCCCCATATTCTCCAACCATTCTAATTTTATACAATCATCAATAAGCATTCGTCACTTTTCATAATTCAATCATTTTTTTAGACAAAAGAAAGTAATAAGAAAGGAGTTGAATTCTTTCCACAAACTTAAATTTTCTAATCCCTATATCTTTACAACCTGATGGAGTAAACCTTTGAAATTTGAAACTTCGAATTTTAGATATGACATTGGGTTGCAAAGATAAAGGGATTAGAAAATTTGAGTTAGTGCATGACAATCACTCAGTTCTTTTATATTTCTTTTTAAGCTTTCAAATTGTAAATTTTTTTTAACTTCCTAAGGAACGCCTTTTTTAACTTTGTAACGCCTCCAGTTTTTATTTTACACACAATAGTAAAAAAAGGCAAACTTTTTTTCCATTTAAGGGTTTCTGCCTTTTTCTATCTATAAACACTTTGCTTATCTGTCTGTTTGCCTGTCGAGATGTTTGTATCCAATAAACAAAAAAACGGCTGAAATGATCGGGCCCAAATTTTGTGTGGGACCTCACATGAACCCAGGGAAGGTTTATGAATGATCAAAATTTCAAAAATTAGGCTACAATAAAATTCGAATTTCATTAAATTTGAAAATCCACGATTTTTTTTTTGGGTTTTGTTTTACAATGTATACATACAAAGAGAAAATGTTCACAATTAAAATAGAAGATGAGCTTAGTATCAATATATTTTCCTAAATAAGTTGGGTTTATAAACATGCAAAATTTCAAACAAAAATCCTATTTCAATGTATCTTGTGATATTGATTTTGCCGGCAAATTGAATTGATTTAATTTAAAATGGAGAAATATTTACATTCCTCTTTTTGTATATTTGCTTGGGATTGAATCGGGAATTCAGATTTCTATTTCAACATTTGAACCTTTTTGTTTCTGTAGAATAACACAATATATACAATTGTATTTACACAGATTCAAGGAACCATTTTCTATTTTTTCCTTTTCAAAAATGCACGCGTTTTCAGCGAACTATAGAATATAAACTGTTTCATTAAAATAAATATCTGTTTCAATATCAATTAATTAAACTTTAAACACTTTGCATTTATACAATTTTTTTTCTATATTTAAAAATTCGGTGATGGTGATGGACCAAACCTCTGTAAAGTAAAAAAAGTAGATGTTAGTTCCACATTTATTAAAATTATATTTCGGTCTGGGTTTACCCCGGTCAGTTCTAACAATATAATAACTATTAAAATCGATTAAAAAAATTTAAAAACCACAAGAAAATAAACAAACAAAAAAGATTATTTAAAAACAAAAAGAATTGGGCTGTCAAATGGACAAAAGGGAAACGAACTTAGATCATGAGATGGAAAAAAGATAATTTGCAAATATTCTCTTAAAAAAAATGTTTAAGACAATTATTATTCCTTGAGATTGTTTCTTCATGAAAATTAAAAACAAACAAGTTTATATGTATATTGTATAGTGTTTAAAGTGGTGGAGGGGGTCGATCTAACTAACAAACTTTTACGCAAATCGGGGGGAGGTGGAGGGGGGGGGGCTTATTTAAGGAGGGGTATTTAAACCTTTTAAAGAATTGGACATAAACAATACTCTTTTTTCAAAAAAAAATACTGAATTACAGTTTACAATTAAATAAAAACTATTTTTTTCTGTTCATTCCTCTGAGTTCAGTCATAAAATCTCTAATGTATTTTGAACACACTAGAATATTGAGTTTATGAATTTTTATCCAAAATTACAAGAATGTGACCGATAAACTTGATCTCCCCAAAATTTCAAATTAATCTTAAAATTTAGAAAACCAGTATCATTGTTGCGTGGTAGATAAGCTTTTATTAATTTTGTTGAAAATTTTACTCAGTCCAAATTTGAAGCTTAAATGTGTTGGTAGCTTAAATTGAAAAATTGCAATTTACTATTTAAAACTTGTTTTTATATAAATGCATTAAGACATTTACTTATTTCTATCTAAAAAATTTTATTTTCGGACTTTTCGAGAACACTTTTGGATTTCTACAGAAACGGTTTTATTTGTTTAATTTTTAAATTCATAAACAACTATCTCTCATTAAAGGATCGCTGAAAGGTCACTTGAAGGTGTCTATAAATAGAATTTACTTTGTTTGTCTTTGATGAAAACCCCCNCCCTCCTCCTAATATTATTGTACTGCCTGCATGTTGTAGTTACTCTTGTTTACATAATGAACTGCGGTTCTGCATAGCATAACATACATATTTACTAGACAGGGTGTTTAAATTTAAATTCCTCAGCTAGTTTATAATAATTAATGAAAATCTATTGAAATTGGACAATTGCAACCTTGCATTTTCCTCAAAAAAAATATCGCCATTTATCAGGTTCACAGAATAACCAAACTGCGCATATGCTCTTTCTGGATAGGCTAAGCAGGCCTAAAGTGTCCCGGCACGCCATGCTACAAATTCTTAAAATTTTTATGACTGCCGTCTAACGGCCAGGGGTTAAGTTTTACAACTTTTTAAAGAAATACTCCAATTTCTAACATGAAACATAACATTTATGAATTTAGTCTATTTTCGTATTCAAAGGATCCTGAAATATCCCTGAATACATGGATGTCTGCTGATTGGTCGTGTTCAGTATACTGTTGCTCACCCAGTACTTTGAACATTGTACAGTAAACATCCCCGAGCCCAAAACTTAAGACAGTTTCGGAAACCCGGTTTAATGAAAATTTTGTAGATACCAATATTTTTTTATACATTTTCTTTTTAATTTGTGCTCATGTTTTCTATTTATTTCTTATTTCTTGATTAAAAATGTAAAAATACAAAAATACAACCCAAAAGTGATACTCGAGGGAGTTTTGTTCAACAACACTCTCCTAAATTTCTGGCTCTGCTATAAGGCTGTATCTAGGATAAAGCCAAGGGAATTTAAATCTACAAGATTGAATTGTTATGCGGCATCCATCAGTTGAAACAGGGGCCAGGGTTTTCATAAAAATCAAATGTTAAAATAACTATTTATAGATTTTAAAATGGCATAAGACGAACGTAAAAGAATTAAGCTACAGACTCAAATTTTTCAAGTCCTATATTTTTGTAAACTCATGGTATAAACCTTTGATATTTCAAACTTGGGATATTTGATCTAACATAAATAATAGTTTAAAATATCAAAGGTGTACTGCATCTGGATGCAAAAATATAGGTGTTAGAAAATCTGAGTTTGTGGCGGGTTTTTTCCAGAAAACTGAGGTTTTATTATTTCCCCACTGTGTAAGATTGCGTGAGTTGCGTGCATGTTTACAGAAAATGACTTGTCAATATTTTCTAGTTTGTAGTTTAATCCAAAACATATTTGTATGTGTAGTTCTTCAAAAAGCATTATACTTTTATAACAAACTGTTATTAACAACAAAAAACCGTCTAAAAATGTTATGTCATGTTGCGCTTTATTAAAAAAGAGGATTTAAATGTTATGCCCATAATGTTTGATTCGCAAAAAATATTTAGTTCTTTCCCTTTTTTATTTATTTAGAGGAAAGTTTGAAGATTTTGATTACCTCAAAGACGTTATTAATCCGATTAGAAATTCGAGTTTGTAAAGTTATAAGCTGATTTTAAATAGGATTAAATAGTTTGAGGAGAAACCAGAAAACCAACTTGTCTAAAAACTTTAAAGTCAAGATTAAAATTGTTTTGAATAAGGTTTTATTTTAGATAAATCTCTTAGAAATCGAAAATGATATGAAGGCCTTGTCCCGAAAACACTTTTCAAGTTTGGGTTTCAATACGTTCTTGGAAGACCTAGCAGCCCGGACATGCCTAGCGGAAGTTAGATCGGCGTGATGGAAACATTGTTATTAATATTTGTATGTTTAGTGCAGTGTATCCTGTGGGTTGGGAACCCAGGAGAGGAAGGTTGAATGTAAGAACTCAAGTGGAGAATACAGCTCATCTTGTCTTGGAACCAAACCTTCTCAAGTTCAGCAGTGCAGAGCACCTTGCAGTCAACCTTCTCCACCCAACCAGTTCAATAGTACAGGTAGTGAACCTTCTCCACCCAGTTCAATAGTACAGATAGATAACCTTCTCCACCCAACCAGTTTAATAAGGTAAGCAACCTTCTCCACCTAGTACAATAGTACAGGTAAACTACCTTCTCCACCCAGTACAATATTACAGGTAGTCAACCTTCTCCACCCTGTACAATAGTACAGGTAAACAAAGAAAAGTCGCCAATATATTTAGATAGTTATGCAAATTATATAGGTAAAAAAAAAACTGTATCATGTGGATAAACTTAGTCTTTACTATCTTCTTCACCCTGTAGTTCGTAAACATGATTCTAATAACTTATGCTACCCTCTGTTCCAACCCTTACGCTGAGTATCCTCCCTTTCCCTTATACTCCCTCACCTCCTCCTTACTATTTTCCTGATTTATCATCATTCTTATGTTTAAAATGTACAATGTACATTGTTTTTATCTGCAATTCTCATTCGTTTATAGTGGGCCAACCAATTAAAACAACCTACTTTGGTTAGGCGGGTCCAAACTACATACAGTGAAACCCTTAATAACGAATACATCGAAAGAATTCATCAAATGTCGTATTCTTCACTTTCTGATAATGGAATGTTGCAGATATTTAGTTTTTTAATTGAATTATTATATGGAACTCTTTAAAACTGTTCCCGCATATTCATGGAAATTAAACCAATTTCGCAAATACTGAAATTTACGTAATATAGTATAAAACTCATTGAAAAATTGTCAAGACGACATTTGATAAATTCTTCCGATGTATTCGTGGGTTTCACTGTAGTAAATTGTGATTTTTTTTATTTGTATTATCTCGTGCCTTGTAGTTGAATAAAAATATGAAATATGAAATATGAACTTTCTCTACCTAGTACAATAGTACAGGTAAACCTTCTCCACCCAGTGCAATAGTATAGGTAGTCAACCTTCTCCACCCAGTACAATAGTACAAGTAGTACAAAACTCCTCTCCCCCTCCCCCTCCACCCTGCAATCTCATCCTCCCTAATGTGAAAATATTGATGAACTGTTCAGCAACATATTATATTTTCTACATCTCTTGAGAATGAGAAAATAAATAACTTAAAACCAATAACTAATATTATATAGTATTTCTTGTCTTTTTGCAGGTTTTGCAAATGAGAAATTCACTCACTAATTTGCTTGATTTTTTTACTTTGATTTTAAACTGCCAAGAAAAGAATGAGGATGAAATCCCCGAAAGAGGATTTAAAAATCCGAAGCTACTGATTTGCGGATTTTATAGTGATGACACTTTTTTAAGATGCAAAGAACCTCTTAGGTTTTCTGATTTTTTAATGGATATTTTATTTAAGGTTGGACAAAAGTAGAAGCTGAGAAAACTCCTAAGTTTGAAACTAAAACCTTGATATCTGATGATGATCTGCTGGATGAGGATGAAGAGGATGAGTATGATGATGAGGATGATGATCCTGCTCCGGAGACCTGGAAACCTGCTCCGTCGGGGTCAGCTAACTCAGGACTCCTGAAGAACCAACCCAGGTAGCTTTTTAAAAGTTACTTTTTTTCACAGAATCCTTGAGAACTAACTAATCAAATTTTTTTCAACTAATCAAATGAACCAACTACAATCCGACCTACGTAACTATTTATTTACCTAGCTACAATCCGACATACGTAACTATACGTAACTTTATCTATTTATTTATTATTTATTTATTTAAATATCTATTTATCCAACTACAATCCGACCTACGTAACTATCTTTTTGTCTAACTACAATCCGACCTACCTAACTATCTTTTTATCTAACGACAACCAATTAATTGAACTAAGTACAAATATGACCTACCTAATTATCATCCAATTTGTATGACTAACTTGAAAGCTAGCTAACCACCTAACTAACTAACTATCTGGTGTAAGCGTATCCCCAGCAGTTAGAAGATATTTTGTCTCAGGCTGGGTTCATGTGAGGTAAACATCAGGGACAAAATATTTTTAACCAAAACCTATTTTGTCCCCAAGATAATTCGGAAAAATGCACCTCTTAGTTTTGGCACTGCCATGGTGGTCCTTGCACAATTCACATGCAAAAATATCAACTTTTTTTTCTTGTAATTATTTTTAAAAACTGATAAAATGATTTTCCTAAAATTCCAGTAAAGTAATAATGCACAAAATTATAAATTTATTCATTGCACAATGCACAGTTCTTTCGATTTATGCACAATTGAACTATTTTAAGTTATTTAAAAGCACTCATTTAATCTTCAGCACATTAATTTTTATTTATGTTTTCAGCACTTTTTGAACACTCCGTTGTTATTCAATGTTAATTAATTATGCTAATATTACAAATATAAGAGAGAAAACTTTTAAAAGCATTTTAAAATAGAAAGTTTTCCTTTTATAAATTTACGTTAATTAATGAAAACTATAATGTTTTCGTTTAGAAAAATAGGAAGAAAAACACGGAAATTAATGATTGTTATGTTTTCGTTGTTTATATATTTTTTATTGGTTTAAATATTATAGAATTATCCCAGATACACCTCTGCATTTTAGAAATTACTAGCTGAAGGGCCAGGCGTTGCCCGTGGAAAAAAGACATTTGAAAAAATTTGGAATTTATTTTTGAATTTTGTATCCCATAACATGAGTGTCCACAAAAAATTTCAACCCGATCAGTCCAGCCGTTTGGCCGGCTATATGCAATGTATATATAAACGAATGTCTTGTTTTATTATATAGATGATTTAAAAAAGAAAAAATTTGAGACGTTTCGTGGCTATAGTTAATGGTCTGTGTTCTATGTAAATGCTAATTTCTATAAAATATATATATATTTGAAAGCCCATCAAGTCCTGAATGTGGGGATGTTTGACAATAACGGTTTTATGAACTGGTTTAATGTGCTCTGCACTCAAATGATAAGAAGAAAAACCCTCAAAATGGATTCTTTAAAGGATATTTTAGTGGTTAGCACAATAAGAGCTGTGTTTCAATGACGTATCAAAATTCAAATTGATTAATTTCTACAAAACCTCGCCTTAACCTCGCCTTTAGTTTAAACAGAATAAATATAAATAGTATGTTATCAATATTATATCAATCAATATTCAATACAGCAATATTTGTTTTACTTTCTTCTAATTTTTCCAATATTTGACATTTAATATAGTTTTTATATATATATCTATCTATATTTTATTCTAAATCCATTATTAGATTCTATTTTAACAATTAACTTATAAATAAAAGGTTTGTAATTGATTTAACGCCTTATCACGAAATAAACTGTTAATACAAAAGAACTATATCTTTGCAATCTGACTATATGTAAACCATTGATATTTCAAACTTAGGCGACAATGAGCTCACAGAATTAAAAGCAGGTTGCAAAGATATAAGGTTTAAAAAAGAAAAGAGTCTTTGCCACAAGCTCAAATTTTAAAATCCTTATATCTTTGCGACCTGATGATGTAATCCTATGATATTTCAAATTTAGATTATTTGATCTAATAAAATTCATAGTTTAAAATATCTGAGGTCTGCGACATTGGATGGGGAAGATATGGGGATCACAAAATAAGAGTTTGTGGCAAAGATTCAATTCCACTAAAGTAATCAGTTAAAAATACTGACCAGACATTTTTTTTGAGGGGAAGGGATTATTATTGAACACAGGGTATACTAGTTAACACACGGGGTGGGTTAAATAACTTTTAGAATTTGTTTTCCTTTTGTAAACTTGACTTAGTGATTAGTTCCATACGGTGCAGGGGTGTAACATAGGATTTACAGGGGTATGAGATGATTGTCAGGAGATATCGAAGAGAAGTTTAACTAATCCGTAGATCTCTATAAGATGGATTGGAGATCAACGTTTGATCCTGAGATATACAAAACAAAAGTTTTAACTTCTGGCATTGTAAAACGGATATTCACTAAAAGAAATCTGATTGATTGTAGAAAATTTAAACTAATATTTAGGGAAAAACAAGGGTTAGATTGTAGAGAGACATTCAAATTGTCTAAAACTTTTTTTGTACATTTCTTTCCAAAACATCTAATTGTAGGATGGGGGGGGAGGGGGGAGTTTTGGGTCCAGAAAATGGTTTGTCACGTAACGAAGAGAACACCCCCCCCCTGAATATTGATTAATGAAATTCTTCCTTTGGTTTCAGTTACATTGTTTATATTACTTGTATTTGTGCAGTATAGCTCGTAAACCCATACCATAAACAATAAACATATACTCGCCCCCTCCCCTTCAGCATTCCATTGATTATATAAACTGTTGACATGACAGTTTTTATAGTTTTAAATTTTGTTATTCTTCTCCTTGTCGTTTAGTGGACTGGATAGACACCTGACTCAGTGGTTTTAGAGAAAAATAAACTTTTCTGCAGATTTTCTAAATTTTAGTGCCTTGTCACATTCGCCCGCCATATTGTAAAGAAATTAAATTTTTATCATATCGATATGTGAAAAGAGTTTAGGAAAAGACTCCATGGTCTGAGTCTATGATGTCCCTTGTCTGGGGGTTGAGTTGAAAATTGAACTTATTTAGCTTTCTCACGTTCCCTCTCAACCCCCTTTTTCATTCTATGGTTTCTTCTGAAATTTTGCAATAGAATAAATATAGCCGAATAAATTCACTTATGTTAATCGCTTATACTACTCTTATCTATCTATCTCGTAATCTATAGATGTGTATAGTGTGTCAATTTCTGTTTGTTTAGCTGGCCGATCATGGTACTTAAACTAGTTAGATAATAAATTAACAAGGGCTGGACTATACCTGAACCTAGCACTGTTGATCTAGGTGGAGAAATGTAGAGTGTAAGATTCTTCTTGAGTTCTCTGGTACTATAGCTACTCTACCAGATAAAGAATGTCCAGGTATTTCTGCAATCATAGCAGTTTTGCAATAATAATTTCAGGTTGTTTGAAAAGCCATTTTTTCTTTCAATAATTTAGTTAAATTTTTTTCTACCTAACTGACAGATTGAAAATGCAAATTGATATTACTTTAATCTTTTGATTTCAGGTTTAAAACCTGCTGAGACAGAGATGTGTGTTGAGGTTCGAAGTTGCTCCGGGTCTATAGATAACCAGGTAGAACGTTTCTCCTGTAGTAAAACCATTAAAGGGAAGAGACAAAGATTTCTTCCCACTCTGGATCTTTCAATGGTTGAGCCATTGCAGTGGGGGAGAGTCAAAGAGTTCTCCCAAATCTGGATCTCTCAATAGTTGAGCCATTGACTTAGAAATAGAGTCAAAGGTTTCTCTCGAATCTGGATTTTTTCATATCAAAGGTTCAAACGAATTTTACGCTTCTTGACAGTTTTGTTGAAATCTCGTTTAGAACTAAATTTTTAATTTTTTCTTGATTGTCAATTGCAAACTATCTTTCTAGGAGGTGAAGGCAGAGCTACTACCCCTGGAGTTCCCCCATACACTCCACCTGGTTCAACACGAACAACCATATACTGGACCACAGTACATTTGGAAGATATCCGGGTACACAGAGTGTACTGCTTCATGTCTCGGAGGTAAACCAGCAGTACTTTTAAATATTGTTTCAGTACATCAGAGTTGTAAAGGGTTTAACAGTGACTTGATTTTTTTTATTGGGAGGTTACAACCCAATTTCAATACAATACAATACAATACAACACAACACAACACAACACAACACAACACAACACAACACAACACAACACTACACTACACTACACTACACTACACTACACTACACTACACTACACTACACTACACTACACTACACTACACTACACTACACTACACTAATTTGGTTTGAGTACTGGGTTTGGTTTGAGTACTGGGTTTGGTTTGAGTACTGGGTTTGAGTACTGGGTTTGGTTTGAGTACTGGGTTTGGTTTGATTACTGGGTTTGAGTACTGGGTTTGGTTTGAGTACTGGGTTTGGTTTGAGTACTGGGTTTGAGTACTGGGTTTGAGTACTGGGTTTCGTCGTTCTAAAGTTTCAGTCTTCATGTATTGTCCCTGAATCCCCCAACGGAAAATAATATTCAACAAAAGAGTCTTAAACAATATAATCTAATTGGGTAAAATGTTTAGGCATCATATTCAAGGGGGAATATCTAATGAGAGAGAAGGGGGGGGGGAGTGACTTTTTCGTTAAATAAACAAAGCATAGTTTTCAATTGTATTCACTATTCAGCCTTGACAGTTAAAACAAGTTGGTAGTTTTAAAATAAACATTAGCGGTTGATGTAACCACTCAAACTTGGAACCAAATACTTTTACAAATTGTTCAGCAATTTACTTAATTTGGCAGCCAGGGGCTTTCTAGACTCGTTTACTTTTTTGGTAAGAGTTTCTTGTTTCGCCATATTTCCGTACTGTTTACGCAAATTTCGAAAAAATTTCGTGGATTTTTTTGTGAATCCTTCTGTGTACAGTATTGCAAAGAACATGAAAAATTCTCAAGTTCAACTCTGGGAACTGTTTCCGTTCGGTTGACAGGTTTGCACTTCCGTTTTGACCAGTTTTCTGCATCAAGACAGGATATTTCTCTTAGAAGTTTTTTAACATATCAGGATTTTAAAAAATATAGGGGAAAAAATGAACAAAAATTTATTTCAGACTGGAAATGCACTTTTCAATGTTTTATTTAATTTGTTACTTCTGAAAAAAAGAACGTTTTATTTGAAATACAAGATTATTTTTGTTTGAATTTATACCGTGGCATAAAATTGAATTTATTTCATAAAACAAATTCAATTGCTCCGGAAAATGTTTCTTTTATTACTTTAAATACAATAACATTAAAATTGAATGAGTAAGATTAGCCATACAATACATATAGATTAATAGAGAGGTTGGAGAGTGTAGAAAAAATTAAATAATTTTATGCCTGTAATGAAAATTGAAGTCTTTGAAAAAAAACCGGCATTTTTATCAAAATCATCAAATATTTTTACGAGGGTTTATAACCTTGAACCTAGAAATATTAGTATTTGATGCAGGGTCTATAATTCATTATATAATGATAGTGGTGTAGTACAATTTATTACATAATTATCATGCAAGAGCCCATTTAGTGTTAGAAATAAACAACTTTATAAAAAATATCCCCAGAGTTGGAAACTTATAAAAGAGAAATGTTAATGGAAGGATTCAGCTAACCCCCAGATTATCAGGTTTCTCATTGGTCCAACCTCTAAAATGTTACCCATAAGAGATCTGTTAAAAATCCCCTGAGAATGCTTCTCACTCTGGTTAATCCGGGGTGAGCTGGGGACCTCAGAAGACTACGTTAAGGTTTAAGACTGATCAAGATAAAAAATGTTCCTTACTTGCTAGTTTTTCATCGCCAGTGATAATACAACCAGCTAACATACACTCTGTAAAGAGGGGCGCGAAGCGCACCGCCAGCTTAGAAATGTTATATTTCAGTGTGCACAAATCTCTCGTAGATAAATCTCCGGTTTAAAAACGGAGAAAAAAATGACAGCTTCTGAATGGGGAGAAATCACAGACGGTGTCAAAACTGTCATTTTTTTACGAGGTTGTTGTTTTTAAACATGAAGGTAGTTTAGGACGTGTGACAAAAGAGCCCGGGGGGGGGGAGGGGGGATTTTAAGGGGGGTTAAACCCTCTTAAAATTAAAATTGTACAGATAGCCCGTGAAGGATAGATTTTAAAACTACATTCTGGAGAGGAGTGTTTTGTATTTTTAGAAACAATACGTAATTTACTGTCTTGCCACGCTAATCTAGATAAAGTTGGTTATGTCCTGGCTGTATTGGATTACAGGAAATGATTTGTTATCCCTTTATTTTTGCAACCCGACACTCTAGTATGCCGGTCCATTAGTGCCTGATCCAATCAGGGTTCAGCCATGTGTTTGGTGTCTATTCTAAACCAATAGAAATTGCATGGCGGTAACATTTATCTTTCTATCTAGCTCATTATCCAATAAGAGATAAATCCTTATATCAGCGCTACAGCAGTAAATGGAAATATTTACTTCTACTGAAACTATAGTGCCGATGTCGTAGACCTTTAATATTTAAAACTATGACTTGTGCTAGTCTTAGTTTGAAATATCAAAGGTTTACACCATCAGGTTGCAAAAATATAGGAATTATAATTTGAGGTTGTGTCAAAACTTCGGTTCCCTTAGTCAAGTCGTATTTAGCTATCAATGAAAAGCTGTGTTTTGAAATTTAAAAGTAAGGACTGCAATCGAAACAAGTATAAAATATGAAAATTGTCAAAATCTCATCAAACCCCCCTCCCTCCCTTCTTAACTACCCAACTATGAAGGTTAAAGGGCAGATGGAAGAGTAAACTGGATAAATCTGATATCCTCTGATTCAATTTAAAGTTGAGGATAGAGGTTAGAGGACACTGTTTTCTGACCTTCAATCTCAATATTCACAACTGTTCAAACTTTTCTACAGTTCAGGGCCCCAGGGGTGAAAAAAAGAGATAATTTACTCAAAAAAAATTAGCGATTTTTATTGCCAAATATTGGAGAATTATATTTCCATGGTAAAAATTTTTTTATGCAAACCAAGACTGTTTGAATTAATTTATTATAATCTATTTATTTAAATTTCGTTTGTTGGTTGGATGGTGACGTGTGCAACATAATGGAATTATAAACAGAGCAGCTACTTATTTATTTTATGAGAATTCGATAAAGGAATTGAGTCTTTGCCACAAAATCTGATTTTCCAATCCCTTTATCTTTGCACCCAAATGTCTAGACCTTAGATTTTACAAACTACGAATTATGTTAAATTATATAATATATATTTAAAATATCAAAAGTTCACAAAATTTTGTTGCACAAATATAAAGATTAGAAAATTTGAGTTTGAGGCAAAGGCTCAATTCCTTTGTAGTTTTTTATTGATATTTGATTTTGGTCAATACTGGATGTTCATAAATTGTTTTTAAATTAATGTTTATTAATCCCTTTCCTCAAAAATACCCCCTATATAATAAAAACAAAAATGGTAATAGAAGCTTTTTATTACAATAAACTTGTAGTTAAGAGTAACAAGCGAGTTTTGTATAAAATAAATCCAGAAAACTTGGCTTAAGTTTACTGGGTCAACCTTAAGTTCAGAAAATCTAAACTAAGTTCAGAATTAAAGTCTCAAACTGCGGCTTCAGTTCAAATTAGGATTTATTATCATAATCAGCCAGTCATAGAAACACGTAACACGGGATTAGTTTACAAAAACTTAGAAACCGTGAATTGCAGAAAACTTTAGATTTATTTTGATACAATTAAAGGGGAGAACATTTTCAACAAGCTGATGCCTGTTAAGTTTATTTGTATTTATAACTTTTTCTCGGATTAGATTTTACTCTCCTGTTAATTCCTGGCTACGTTTCTAATGATCTGTATATCTAGGATTACAGGAGAGTATAGTGATCTGTGTGGATGGAGAGAAAGAGACTCCAGTTGCTCCATTCTTCTGTGATGCTAGCTCCAGGCTCGATATAGAAGTCAGGGCTTGTAATGAGAAACCTTGCCCACCCAGGTATTCAAATCCAACCCAGATTTTCAAATTCTAAACAAAACCCAAATTCAACTTAGGTATCCAAACCCAACCCAGATGTCCAAACCCAAACCAGATATTTAAACTCAACCCAGATATCCAAACCCAAACCAGATATTTAAACCCAAAACAGATATTGAAACTCAAACCATATATTCAAATACAAAAATATATTCAAAAATAACCCACCATCTTAATCCAACCAAACTATTTTACTATTCTATTCTAAATTTACAATTCAATTCTATTCTTCATCAACTATTCTATTATACATCAACTATTCTTTTCTACATTATCCATTCTGTTCCATTTTACTTAATCTATTTTATTCTATTCTTAATCTAATATTTTATATATACTCTAAATCTATCTTTCTACTCTATTACTATTCTACTGATTAGTTTTTTCTACTATTCTATTCTACATCTCCAATTCTATTTAAGTACTTACTATATGTTTTGTAGGTGGAATGTTTCTGATTTCTCTGAGTGTAGTCAGATCTGTGGTGGGGGGAACCAGAACCGTACAGTAGACTGTATACAGGAGGTTAGTACAGTGCTTAGGATCCGCAACATTTTGGCTTCCTGGATCCGGATCCGGATCTGCAAATATATATCCGGACCCGGATCCGGAATTATATATCCGGATCCAAGGGTCAAAATATCAACAAATAACTGCAAAAAAATCTTTTTCTCTCAAAACCCAATTATGAGATATTAATAAACTTTTCCTTATTTATCAAAGGTTTATCAAGATTTAGAAAAATAAACGAAAAAAAGAAGAAAACTAAATTTTTCTTCTGTTAAAAAATCGGTAAATCTTTAAGAAATGTTCATGACCTGGATCCGGATCCATTTATTTTTCCAGTGCAGATCCAGGATCCGGATCCGCATCAAAATCAAATCAATCCTGGAATTAGATATCCATTTTTTTAACTTCGATAATTGACTGTTTTCAATTGTAGTTCGTATGGAATGGAGGATCATAAAAAGTTGGAATGCCAGGATTACAAATTTTTAAATAATTATTTTCTTTAAAAAATCAGGTTGCCCACGGGAAGAAGAATATAATAAAACTACCTGACACTGAATGCCCCCAACCCCCTCCAAGGGCTCAGCAATTCTGTAATGTTGTGGACTGCTCGGTCCAATGGAGTGCAGGCCCATGGACTAAGGTAAGATATTTGCCATCGAGTGAAATTTTGAAGTTTTTGTTTAAATTTTTTCAAAATATTTTTATTAGTTTCTCTTACTTGCTTTCTCGAGACCAAGTGATCAAAAGGTCGAAATTTATGAACATGAGAGAAGTTACTGAATTCATTGTGTGTGGCTCTAAAATTAACTAAATCCAAATAGATGGTTCAATATGATCAAGAGAATTAGTTAAACTGGCTTATTCATAAATTTACAACTCAGAATTGTCCGGAACTTAATTTTTAACAAAGCAAGTATTCCGAGGTGGGAATTTTTAAAGATGTAGTTTAACTATGGTTGGATAGTTCAAATATATCTCCGTGCCGCGCTGCAACTGGTACAGGCTAAGCCTTACAGAATGAAATGAAAATCAGACATTTTGGTTGTTTCCGAACAGTCCTACAGTTCTATGATTCTAAGGATAACAATTTTCTGACGTATTTGTACTTTTCCTTTTTTGATTTTATTGAATTTAATTCTGATTGATTTAGATAATCATTAATCATTTTCTGATTTTCTAAATCGATTTCACTGGAAATTAGTTTAAAGTGGATTTATTGATTGAACTGAATTTGAAATGTTTAAAACAGAGTTCAACTAAATCTCAATTTATCCAGTTTTATAAAGTTAGAAAGTAAATCGTTTTGAGACAAATTTCGGGAAAAGAAACTGAAGAAATTAAAACGTCTTTACAGTTTTGAACATTTCCGTTTTTTTAATTAAAAACGTTTTAATTTTTTGACGAAAATATTTAGGATGAAAACTAATGATTAAAAACTGTTCCTTTTTAAGTGTTCGAAGCGGTGTGGTGACGGTCGACGGTATCGAAAGGTCCGATGTCGACAACTTCTTTCTCTGGGTCAGACAATCGATAAACCTGAGCGTGAGTGCACCGGTCTCAAACCGAGTGGTGAGGAGCGCTGTAATGGAACTGAGTGTGACAAGATTAATCTAGCGCCTAGGATTAAAATTGTAAAAGGTATATGACCTCAAAACTTTATAAAAATAAAGATAAAAAACTTCGAATGTTATGCTCATAAAGCCAATAATAATCACTACGAGGGGCCGCCGATTCATTGAAGAATTGACGGTACAGGTAGAATTATGTACATGGCGTAGTACTTTTAAATTTCCTAGCCGGGTCAACCTTTCCGGTCCCAGTTTGAACTGTACCTAGCTCCATGGACAGGACTAGCCGGTGCAACAAGGTTGACGCGGTCAGACTTCATATAGGTTGAATTTACTTTTACTAAAGGGGCAGAGGTGTCTGATGTGGTACATTTTCATCACTAGAGACCTTGCTGGTTCAGTAGATATAGTACAATTACAAATTAACTGGAGCTGAGCTTAGATTGTAAAGGCAAAGAGGGGTCCATAGTACTAAGGAACTGAGTTTTAGCCACAAATTCTGATTTTCAAATCGCTATATCTTTGCAACCTGATGGATTTAACCTGTGATATTTCAAAGTATCATTATTTGATCTAAAATAATTCATAGTTTGAAATATCTAAGGTCTCCGACATTGAAAGGTATAAGAAAATCAGAGTTTGTGGCAAAAACTCAATTCCTTAAGGAACTTCCAAAGCATAATTAATTTCCAAGAAGCCATTTCCTAAATGTACTTAAAGTACTCAGTATCCTCATTCCCCACAAAAGTACTCTGAAAAGTATTTCTAAAAATAATGTAGAAACTTTGAATCTAAAACATTGTTGAATACTTTTGTTTAGTTTGAAAATAAGAGTTCTAACTAAAAGCTAATTGTAAATATCCGTATTAAAGTTTGACAAATGGATTACTTGGAAAGGTTCAGTTATTCAATAATTCATTTTTTATATTTTGTCTTTGCTTTTAACTGTACCTGTACCTATTACTTTAATTTTACCAACTGTATCTGTATCTGTACCTGTACCTGTACCTGTACCTGTACCTGTACTTGTACATGTACCTGTGCCTGTGCCTGTGCCTGTGCCTGTACCTGTACCTGTACCTGTACCACTTATATCAATAAACAAGAGATTTAATCATTACATAAAAAGAATATTTTATTAAAGTCGGATTTTAAATATGAGAAACACAATTTTCCAAATAGCTGTATCTGTATTCCAGGTCAGAACTATGACCAGCCTACAGCTGGGGTGCGTGAGGTCAAACTGAAGGTTGGAGGTCAAGCAACTGTATTCAGAGGAACTACACTGAAGATCCGGTGCCCTGTCAAACATTTTGACAAGTAAGCATTTTCAGATAATGTTGTAATTATTATTATTATTATGATTATTATTATTATTATTATTTATTGTTATTGTTATTGTTATTGTTATTATCATAATCATATTAAAAATTTTTGTGCCATCCTAATATAGTTATTATTGTTATTTTGGGAAAATTGATGTTCAACATTAAAAGGCTTTTTCTTTCTCTTCCATAAATGATGGTTTTCCAAAAAGAAAAGTATTGTTTAATCCAATATCTGTTTCATAATTCCAAGAAAAAGTTCAAAGTTTATCCCATTTCCTAAATACATTGAAATTAAGTATTTGCCACAAATTCTAATTTTCAAATGCCTAAAACTTTGCAACCTAATATTGTAGATCTTAGATATTTTAAACTATGAATTCTGTTAGTTTGAAATGATATAGGTTTAGAAAATTTGAGTTTGTGGCAAAGACCCAATTCCTGTGTTTTTTTCATTCAATCTTAGAATATAACATAAAAAATGTATACTTTATTAACCTAAGAAAACATAATCTTATATCCTAAAAACTGTTTTATAATTAAACCGAAATCGTAATCGATTTACTAGATTTGTGTTTAAATATTTTAATATAATCTGACAATGTTAAACAAAAATGTATTGGAGAAGATTAGAATTTTAGAATGTTAGATTTAGTTTTATCTAAGCCTGATATTTAATTTCAAGGCGAAAAAAATATTTTTCCCAGTGTTTCGGAATATTCTTTGTTTATATACTTACATATAATATGTATTTTAATTTATTTTTCAATCAAAAAAAAACCTAAAATATAGCTTCATATAATATATGATATATAATATATATTTTAATTTATATTAATATTTATATTCATATTTATATCTATATTTATATTTATGTTTACATGCATAATTATATCTATATTCTTTTTTATACAAGTAATGTAAAAAAAAGTAAAGTAAAAAATTATTTATTTATGAAATATAACAAAGACATACAAAATAAAGTGTTTCAGGAGAAAATATTTAAAAACCTCTAAAAGTAGAAGTTGTGGTAATATTTCCCCCCAATTCTAAAAAAATATAAAAATATAAATAAAAGAATAAAAAAGGAAAGGATAAGGAAAGGTACATATTTATTGTTTACACTATATTTAAATTATTGGTGGATTGTTAGTATTTTTCGACGATGAACTAACAACTTTTAGAAATTAAAATTATAGATTAATTTGTAAATGTTAAAAAAGTAAAAAAAAAGCTTTATGGAGTGTGAAAAGATATAGGTTCTATGAAAAACGGGTATTTTTAAGCATCTTTTTAATTCGCGCTGATTTTTGACATCCTTTATGTTTGATTATATCTTTTACTCTTTTTAATCTTTTTATTCTTTTCTTTGTAAAATTGTCTTTGGTTTCTTCGATTCTTTTGCAAACATAGCAAGTGTTAGAATTAAAACATTTGTTCAGCTGATAAAAATCTTCTATTAAATTCTGTTTAATATTCGAAATAAGATTGATATTTAAAAGCTTAGAAAAGTGTCGTTTATTTTCATACCATATTTTAGGGAAATTGTGAGGGGGAGCAGTCCAATTTTAATAGATTTTTTTCTAGGAATATAAAAATCTGTTTCTAAGATTTGCGTTTTTGATATTTTTTGATAATATAAAATCTTTTTTAAATGTTGCGGGTAATTGATCTCCTTTTAATTGAAATAAAAATTTTATGACATTAAAGATTCCTAATTTTCTGAAGGGGAGTATGTTTAAAGCCCAAAAAGCTTCCGCTGTGTGACTTATTCTAGGTAACCCCATCAAAAGACGGATAGCTTTATTTATATTTTATAAAAAATTTTAATTAATTTTTTTATATTTATTTTTTTATAAAACGTTTTTAACGGATTTCGAAAAATGTGAGTGGTGCGCGGCATTCTGAGATAGTTGCGCAAGCGACAGGAGAAATAATCAAATTCAAAACAAGTTTATTAAAAAATGTAAAAAATAACAACCTTACAAATGGATTATATAGTTGGGTCCTGTTTAAATCTTTTTAACATTTTGCGGTTTTTCTTCAATGCGACTCGTGGATTTCTAGAAGTTCAATTTCAGATAATTAGAAAGGGTTCTATAACAGTGAATTCTCGATGAAAAGCTGAATTATAAAGTCATTTGTTTTTACTTCTCATTCTTTTTCACGTTTACTTAAGATTTGTTTAAAATATTTTTAATACTTCATCTTTCTTTTTGATGTTTTTACCCTTTCTTTGATTAAATTCCTGTCTACGGTTTGGAGGAGGGGGGGNAAGGGTATTCAATATTGCCTTTAGCTAAACATGTTATAGAACAATTATATATCGGTTTCTCTCAGAATATCTTGAAGAAAAAGCTAAATGAAAGCATAGGGGTTCATATTTTTAACCTTAAAACAATACCTTCCCTTTTTACGTTGTTAAATTTATATTTTGTAAAAAATTTATTTAATACGAATTAAAGTTTATTTTTTCTAATCTTTGATCACATTTTTAAAAGTTTGTCTTACACAAATCCTACAAAAATATAAATCCTATTCTCAATGCATTTTACATTTTCCTTTGGTAGAATTCAACGTGTAGACCAAAATTGCATTTTCCCTTTCCTTCCCTCAGTCTTTAAAGGAACTGTAAACGTAATTTCCATGCAAAAATGACATTGTCCGATTCACAATGATACCCCAGAAACCTTTATCTGATCAATAATGTAAAAGATAATTTTGTTTTTTAAACATTAATATATAATTCTTACTTTATCAGACAAAGCTTTTATAGGTATACCATCGTGACTTAGGCATTTAAATTTTTTTTTCACAGACCGGGATTTTTGTACCAAAAAATTTGTTTAATTACTTTTCATTAAAAGTCACAAAATTTCACGGTGATAGTGTCAAAAATGAGAGTGTTAGGACAAAAAAACTACAGGGGGAGGGGCGCCAAACGCCTTCCCCCCCAGCCTGTTTTGGGTTAAAGGGATTGTTCACATAAATATAAATACACATGATAACCCAATTATTTTAAAATTAGAAACAAAACTAAATTATCTCTGCAATATATTTCTGAAGTCAAAATAATCGAAATAATCGTAATAAAAAATCCATTATTAATTTTCAGTGACAATGTTTTTTTTACATTGAAGTGTTTAATGATGCAAATAATAATTTGATTTTGCTAAAGTGAATTTGGTATGTAATAAAGCAATTTTCCCCAAGAATTGATGTTCTTTTTTTATTATCAACTTAAGAAATATTTCTGCCTGGGTTACATAACTCAACGAAACTGAAGCACGTAATTTCAAACATTAAGATTTTAATTAGTCTTAATTAGGCTTAATTAGTCTTAATTAGTCTTATGGGAAAGAAATCAAGAATAAGAATTTTATTGTGAACATCAATCCTACTGACTACTTTAATGTTATTTTGATATTTTTAAAGTGAATCATAGAAATTCTATTTTGCAAAAGTTGGTTGAAAGAATTTGTTTGTTTGAAATTTAAATCAATTAGAACACTTCAAAGAAAACACATAATCTTCTCAGCAGACTTCTCCTTACACAAACCATTCCCAATATTCATTCAACACATAAAACATATATATATATATACTAGCTGGGGAACCCGGCGTTGCCCAGTAAAAAAAAAGATGTGTAAAGAAATTGAGTCGTTGCCACAAACTCGGATTTTATAATCACTATATCTTTGCAACCAAATATTGTAGACCTTGGATATTTCAAACTATGAATTCTGTTAGCTTATATAATTTGAGTTTGAAATATCAAAGGTTCACAACATTGGGTTCTAAAGATACCAAATTTTTGTGGACCTGAACGAATCAGCAATTTAAAAAAAAATTTCTTGCACCTTAACTTTTTTAATGCAATTTTGGTTATAAATATCTTTTCAATTTACATAGTCCTATTTCGTAGTATTTTTGATGCCGAAAATAATTGCACAAAACTCTGTGCTTGTATAAAATAATGCCGCGCACATCGTCCACAGAACCGTTATACTTCTGTTTCTTAAATTAGATTGAAGCCTTGTCTAATTGATGATAGTACGCCCTTGTAAGTTAATTTTGCAAAATAAATTTAAATTTTCTAAATTATGTTTCAATTTGTCTGGCTGGGAGGCAGGGAACTAATTACCATGAAGTTTAAGTTAATTTTATTTTCAATTTTCTTTTCATTACACAACTTCATTTTACTTTCTAAACTTAAAAGTTGAATTCATGCTGTTATTCCAGTTTAATAAAACAGTTTCGTGACTTAGAGTGTTTATTTTATTTTATTTAGAACTTACAATACTGAACCTAGAATCTTGTAAAAGGAAACCTATTTATTTAGTTCTTCAGTCAAGGAAACCTATTTATTTAGTTCTTCAGTCAGAGGAAACCTATTTATTCAGTTCTGTCAAGGAAACCTATTTATTCAGTTCTTCAGTCAAGGAAACCTATTTATTTAGTTCTAGTTAGGGGGGGAAGGGATTTATTTTTAGTGTTTAAAAGGAAGGAAAAGGTTTAATAATTATTAAACTAGTTAATTATAATTACTGTATAACACGCAATCAAACTAAACTTTTTTGCAAAAAACAATCTAAAAAGGGATTCTATTTAAAAGTGCGAATATTTGTAGATTAAAAAGTGTTTAATGTAATCGTTCGTATACAGCGTGTGCTCAATACTGTTTTGTTCTAATATTTTTACTATTTAACTTATTAAAAATTATATTTTTAAAAAAGTTAAAGAATTTCATAATTAATCCAAAAACAAATTTATTCTTCTGTTTTAGATCCGACATAGCCTGGACACGTGGTGACATCTTTTTGTCCGGAAACCGGAAACAGCGGCACCGGAAGTTCATGGTAACGAGGAAAGGAGTTCTGAGGATAAAGGATATAGATGAGGCTGAGAGTGGTCTCTATACTTGTATTGGTAAGAAAGGGAGGGGGAGGGATTCAAAGGACTGTAAGCGTAATTTCAAGTGACGCTCCTCCATGCAAAAATGACAATGCCCGATTTACAACGGTAACCTTAATCGGATTAAAATGTGGAAACTACCGTCGTTTTCCGGACTCGAAAAGTGTTTAATTCTATGAATTTCTTCATTTCTAGTAAGCAAGAAATGCGCAGGTCACTGTCGCAGAGAAACCGCAAATTTAGGATCATTTAAAAATTACGCTTACAGTCCTTTTAAGGATATAATTCAATAAATCTGGGAGCTGGGAGTTGCATACAGATTACAGGGATACCCAGCAAATATGAGACGATCTGTAGCTTTAATATGGAATTATGCCTTGAAAAATTCCTAAAATGGAAAACTTCATGATTTAAAATAGAAAGAACTAACTTTTCAGTTGCAGAAAGCTGAAAGCCCTAAAGGTTAGAATGTATGAAGAAGGACTTCATAAATTGCGCACAGTCGTCTTTGAAGTCTCATTCTTTGCGGATAAACCTGTATATTCGATTATTTCTTACTCTGTTATATGGGTGTACTTAACTTAATTATGCATATTAGTTGCAATATTTGGTGAAAATATGCTTGGTTAGCACTATATTTACTGAAGTATAATATTTACCCTTTAAACTCTATTTGATCAGCTCTGGAATCAAGATATTGCATGCAAGTCTTCATGTTAAAAACCAACCGAACAACTTTAACTTAAACATTTAGATTTCTAAATAATTAAATTAAATTCAATTGAATTCAATTTAGGATGTGTTTTTCCAAAAATCGTTTTCATGACCAGCAAGTTTGGTAATGGGACTAATTAAAAGTATCTCAGGGTGGGATTAAAAGTTACTCTAAGAAGAGAATATAAGGATCTGAGTGGGATAGTGTGGGATCAAAGGTTACTAAGAAGGGAATTAAATTGACAATGTGGGATTAAAGGTTACTCTAAGATGGGAATTGAACTGACAGTGTGGGATTAAAGGTTACACTCAGAAGGGAATTGAACTGACAGTGTGGGATTGAAGGTTACTCTAAGATGGGAATTGAACTGACAGTGTGGGATTAAAGGTTACTCTAAGAAGATAATTGAACTGACAGTGTGGGATCAAAGATTACTCTAAGAAAGGAATTAAATTGACAGTGTGGGATTAAAGATTACTCTAAGAAAGGAATTGAACTGACAGTGTAGGATTAAAGGTTACTCTAAGAAAGGAATTGAACTGACAGTGTGGGATTAAAGGTTACTCTAAGAAAGGAATTGAACTGACAGTGTGGGATTAAAGGTTACTTTAAGAAAGGAATTGAACTGACAGTGTGGGATTAAAGGTTACTCTAAGAAGGGAATTGAACTGACAGTGTGGGATTAAAGATTACTCTAAGAAAGGAATTGAACTGACAGTGTAGGATTAAAGGTTACTCTAAGAAGGGAATAAAACTGACAGTGTAGGATTAAAGGTTACTCTAAGAAGGGAATTGAACTGACAGTGTGGGATTAAAGGTTACTCTAAGAAGAGAATTGAACTGACAGTGTTGGATTAAAGGTTACTCTAAGATGAGAATTGAACTGACAGTGTGGGATTAAAGGTTACTTTCAGGTTACTTTAATAAGGGAATTAAATTGACAGTGTGGGATTAAAGGTTACTCTAAGATGAGAATTGAACTGACAGTGTGGGATTAAAGATTACTCTAAGAAAGGAATAAAACTGACAGTGTGGGATTAAAGGTTACTATAAGGAGGGAATTGAACTGACAGTGTGGGATTAAAGATTACTCTAAGAAGGGAATTGAACTGACAGTGTAGGATTGAAGGTTACTCTAAGAAGGGAATTAAATTGACATGAATGTTGAAAGGTCTGTAAGTCCCAAGGGCCTAATAATGCTCCTCATGAGATATTGTTTTATACTAAAGCTCTCAGCTTTAACATTTTATATCTCATGGTTTATTTAATCCTGGAGATTAAACTATGGAAAGATGTATTTTATTGAAACACAATCATCGCTAAAGAACAAATATAATAATAATAGTTTTTAAAACCAACATTTTAAATGGTGGCAATTTCAAACAAACAACAAATAAATTTAATTCTATCAAGAGTAAATGGTTTATAACCCCCCCCCCCCCTTTATCCATAAACAATCCCATCCTCTATCCCTCCAACTTTTCTAGACTTGGTTCGGGTCTTATTCGACAAGTTTTGTAAAGATTCTAGATTCTAGTTGAACAAACCCTTTCATCCTATGCTAATTCATCCTTCTTTCAGCCTCAAAATCACGAGCAAGCATCCAGATTATTGTGAAACAAATTGAAACCCGACCCACGCACTACCAAACCACGGAGGAAACCCGACCCACGGAAAACCGACCGGACGATCTTAAAAACTCGGAGTCTTGGATAAACCCTGAAAAAACCGGAAAAGGTAAATAATTTTCTATCTTTGAACAATTTTGAGAACGATTGATTGAATTGCAAGGGTTAGAAGAGGTTGGCCGGGGAAACTGATAAAATGGCGTNGGGGGGAACAGGAGCTTTGCACAAGAGGAATACAAGATCTTTATAATTCTTTTTCCTTATTTCTTTTCTTTGAAGTCGTAACGTAAAGATTATTTAGCTGCATCTCCATCTTTTACAATATATATATTTTAAAGAAAAGTGTGTACAGTGTACACTCATTCATATCGTTTTCGAGTATTTTTCTGTGCATTTTTCAGGTTCGGGGTAATTCTCGAAATTTTACCCGACAACCTGGATTTGAAACTATCATTTTAAACAGGAAAACGCAATTTTGGAATTTCTAAAGGAGGCTCTTGAAGTAAAATACTGAAAATAATTATATTAATTTTCTGTATGTTTAGGAGGAATTTATCCCGGTGTTGGGGAAAATGATGTTTTAGAAATTCCCCTGCTCAAAGACAAGGATAACAAAAGCCTCAAAAACTCAGAGGAAAATAGGTAAATTTTTTAATCTATTTGTTTTTTAGAATCTATACATTTTTGATACTTTTATGAATATTTCAGTATTTTATGTTTTTTTGCCTTATTATTTAGAAAACTTTTTGAAAAAGAACATTTTTTCTTTTATATTTTTTTTTTAATATTTGATTGACGTATGTATTTGTTATGAACAGGGGTAAGTGGAACATGTACAAGGAGGAGGAGGAGTACGTGTACTGGGATAGTATCGGAGAACTAGAGAACCAGAAGAACCCGGAGAAAAAACAACAGGTGAGATTTTCACTGATGGAGTTAGGAGTATTTATATCGGAGATATATCCGAGTGAGATTTAAAAATATATCCGAGTGAGATTAAAAAAGAATCTTTTTCTCTGTGTTACAAAGTAAAAAAGTAAAAGTCTTTTTTGATTTGTAAAAATGGAAGGATAAATAGATAGATAGAAGTTAGGGAGACAAGATAGATAGACAGAAGTTAGGGAGACAAGATAGATAGATGGATAGTTTTTGAGACTAGATAGATAGATAGATAGATAGACAGATAGATAGATAAGATAGAAAGATGGATAGTTTTGAAAACAAGATCGATGGATAGACAGATATATAGACAGATAGATAGACAAGATGGAAAGTTTTGAAGACAAGATCGATGGATAGACAAGATGGAAAGATGGATAGTTTTGAAGACTAGGTAGATAGATAGAATGACAGAAGTTAGGGAGAGAAGATAGATAGATCGATAGACAGAAGATATGGAGAGAATTGTAGAGGATGTCATGAGATATTTAAGAGCAGTGGTTTCCCTCTCTCATGATTTTCACTCTCTTCCCGTCCCATAGAAATCTGGTCGTACCGGCCAGGACACTTTAAAATATGTGTATACCGGCACGACGGTTTCAGTCGTGCCGCTCCGAAGTAGTTTACGTGAATATTAGAAAATGTTTAGGATCTGTTTTCATTGAGTAATACAATAAAAATAAGCCAGTCCATTATTATTCATAAATTGTTTAAGTGCTTGGATGGGTGGGGGGGAATAGCTACACAGATAAAAAGTTGTCAATGATAAAAGAATAGTAAATCTTAAAGTTTCTGAATAATTTTTGATTTATATAATCGACAGGGTTTTTAAAGTTTTCATTCCCGTTCAAAGCCTCTTATGATAATTGAAATTTTAACTTGCTTATTTTTTAAATTTAAATTTTACCTTTTTCTTTTTATGTCTTGCCTGAGAATGTCTAACATTTCATTTCCCCAGCCTTAGGAGGACTTTTAGTGACGTCTCTGCAAACATTATTGATGTACAGTATACAGTATATACATGTAGTAAATGCCGTACTCTTAAAGGGAGTGTTCGCGAAAAATGAAAGGGGATATAGGCTTAATGCGATAAAAAAGCGCTTTTGATCGCTACTAATCTTACTTCTATCTGTTGCGTCTATAAGGAGAAAATTGTTAAAGACGCCTCATACCGAATAACTTAGCGGCCATACAAATTGAGAAAATTGCAACATACTACTTAGACCGTAAACAATCAATTTAATTTCAAACAAATCATTTAGATATTACAACCTATAATCATCGATTATCTTTTGCCACATTTGTATATTGTTTATATTTTATAATATTTTATTTTTTCAACGGATTTCGAAAATTGTGAGTGGTGTGCGGCATTCTTAGATAGTTGCGAAAGCGACAAGAGAAACAAACAAATTAATTAAAAAATATTATAAAATATAAACTATATACAAATGTGGCGAAAGATAATCGATGACTATAGGTTGTAATATCTGAATGATTTGTTAGAAATTAAATTGATTTTTTTAACGGTCCAAGTCGTATGTTGCAATTTTCTCAATTTGTATGGCCGCTAAGTTATTCGGTATGAGACGTCTTTAACAATTTTCTCATTATAGACGCAACAGATAGAAGTAAGATTAGTAGCGATCAAAAGCGCTTTTTTATCGCATTAAGCCTATACCCCCCTTTCATTTTTCGCGAATACTCCCTTTAAAGGTTCGTCACATAAACTGTATCAGTCCAGGTTCAACCAGTCCATGATTTAATTCTAACTGGACATGATCCACACAGCTACAAACCCGTGACTTATCAACGCCACAACCCGGACGCGATCTCGTTAGCTATCGGTGTCAATAAGGATACTAGCAATAAATTGAACAATGTCTCAAACCGTACATGATCCACACGGCTACAATCCAGTTACTTATCAATCCCTGAACCTGGGCGCGATCTCGTTAGCTATCGGTGTCAATACGGACACTAGCAATCAATATCAATACTCTATGGTACAAGAACATACCAATACTCAAGGTACTATCTCAATTCGTATGTTTCAACGGAACCCAAATTACTCTACACTGTAATCAAAGCGGAGTTCTGGAGAGTATATACATACAGTGATATCCTGTATAAGCAGAATGTAATTAGTATACAGTATACAGAGTATATACATACAGTGATATCCTGTATAAGCGGAATGGAATTAGTTTACAGTATACAGAGTATATACATACAGTGATATCCTGTATAAGCAGAATGGAATTAGTATACAGTATACAGAGTATATACATACAGTCATATCCTGTATAAGCAGAATGGAATTAGAATACAGTATACAGAGAATATACATACAGTCATATCCTGTATAAGCAGAATGGAATTAGTATACAGTATACAGAGTATATACATACAGTCATATACTGTATAAGCAGAATGGAATTAATATACAGTATACAGAGTATATACATACAGTCATATCCTGTAAAAGCAGAATGGAATTAGAATACAGTATACAGAGTATATACATACAGTCATATCCTGTATAAGTGGAATGGAATTAGTATACAGTATACAGAGTATATACATACAGTCATATCCTGTATAAGCAGAATGGAATTAGAATACAGTATACAGAGTATATATATATACGGTGATATCATAAGCAGAACGGAATTAGTCTAATTGTGTCTAATTTTTAGAGTATGAATTCTTATGGGGGACTGTAGAACTAATCTTATTCTTGGCTTAAAATTACTTATTTCGGACAATTCCTGTCTAATTCATACTTGGACGGAAAAATGTTCAAGTGTACGGTTGTGAATCGGGCTCTGCCATCTTTGCACAGAGGGTGACATGAAATTACGCTTACAGTCCCTTTAATCTTGTATTTATAAAGTTAGTAGTTTACTGTTTAACACAATAAACGGAAGTTCTTTAACCTGAATAATATAAATAAAAATGGAGGACGAGGGATATATTGAGAAATATTTTGATATATTATGATTTATCGTTGTATTGATATAAATATAAATATTGTGTATGCAGATACTGGGAGTATGTAAAGTGAATACCAACCAACACATTTTATGCAAAGAGATATTTTTTTATTTACGAATTGATTTTTATTAAAAAATACAATTTATCAATGTAATCAACTGTCTGAAAAAATTCCCATCAAACAAATAAAATAAAATGAGCATCGAGATTTTACTAAGAATCGAATTAAAAGAAACCCCAAAATTTTTTATTTACTTTTGTAAGGTCTAGTTACTCTCAGCTGTATTCTCCAATATTCAATTTTTCTAAATGATGATTTGCCGCACCGGTGCCCCTTGTCCCTCGTCAATACTTTACTGGCCCGATCCCTTTTCTCAACTGTCCTCTGTCCCATATTTGTCAAATGTCCGCTGTCCCCTTTCTGTCAGCTGTCCGCTGTCTCCTATCTGATGCCGACTTAAAATGTCAACTAAAATTGAAACATTATTAACTTTGCTGTTTTTATGGTCATCAAAAAAAGTTTTTCTGACACATAATATTAATATTGCTTAAAACACGTGAATTTGTATTGTATATGTGAATATGTAATATTATGACCACGGGCAGCCGTAGTACATTTTAACTACATTGGGTAAATAAAGCAGACACTCAATAGGACTAGCCGGTGCAACAAGGTTGACGCGGTCAGACTTTAGGTTGAATTTACTTTTACTGAAGGATCAGAGGTGCGTTCTACAAACCATAAAGTATTCCACTGCAAACTAGACACAAGGAGAAATTCAATTTTATGTGACATTACTGGTACGATTTTGTGACCTTGCTACTCCTTTAATTTTGATTTATGATTGAAAACATTTAAGATTTTAATCTTACATACAAATTACTTTAGTTTCACGTGAAACATAGTATTACTGTCATAAATTTTCTTTCTTAAATTAGACAAAATAAAATACACAATGTACTCAATATTCTGAAGTGCAAATATTTAAATGATTAATATTATAATCACTTTTTTAATATTTTACTACAACTGATTTGAGGGTCATACCGGGACAAAATAGGGGACATGTACGGTACTGTTGGGCAGTTACTAGCTGATTAGACTTAGAGGTCGTTCCAGGACAAAATATCAGACATTTACAGTACGGTGACTGCAGTTGGACTGTTATTACCTGATAAGGGAGGGGGGGTCATGTCGGGATCAAATATGTGTACAAAAATTCAAGTTTAAGGCAAGAGATTATTTCTTTAATTAATTTTTTATCGTAATTAATAATCATTTATTTTGCTGCATTGAAGGAGAGAATATCAGGAGGAGCTAGAACTAATCAAATATCATTTTGCTTAGTTTTAGTCTCTCTCCTTGTTCAGGTAAATATGGATTTGTTTTTAAGAAAATGACGCGGCGTCGGCGCGATAAACAGATATTTTAAAATTTTAAAAGTTAATTTGAGTGAATGCGAAAAATGAAAAGTATGGACCTTGATCAAAAACCATGCTTTACGCGGTATTTTTGTAATCTGTACTGAAAGTTTTTACCTCTAAATCCTTAAAAACATAAAATAGAAATAAAATAGTACCGAAATGATATTAATATGTAACGAATTATACAAAGAATTGGGAAGTGTATAGTTGGGCAAAATAAAATAAATACATATTTCCTATAGTGCAGTGGAGCCACTATACTAACATAATCTATACAAGTAAACATAATGTGGTCATAAACAAATAGGTATTCTTGTGTGGGAGCATGTATAAACATATAAACCATATCCGACATTACACGTAAATAAAAAACTTTCAAAACTCAAAATCCGTTTTTTTATATGCAATAATTTTCATCTATTTATCATCCCTTGGGGTTTTAAACTTCCATTGATTCAAATTTTCCGAGGGTTAATAATTTATTTTGGGTCAATTAACTCTCGTTTTAAATAAAAAATAAGTCTATTTCTGAAGATAAGCTTAAAAGGGAAAGGTCTACGACATCGAGTTGCGAAGATTAAGACATTTTTTTATCAATTGGATGTACTCCAATACCACACATTGGATGTGGAGTGATGTGTGTGTGGGGGGGGGGGGTAAATAATATATCAAACAAAAAAACTTTCATCCAATTGATAATTTGTATGAAAAAGTAAATGAATCTGAAGTATGAAACTGTTTAGGTTTTGAACAAGAGGCGTCATCAGTCCAAACACAAGGGTAGAAAACAGAAGAAAATATCAGGTATTCAAAATACATTATCAAGTATAATAGGTGGCAACAGAGAAATGGAGAAATCATACACGACGTCACAAGTGTCAAAAATAACAAGGAAAACTAAATTTTCTCACAATAGTTGACATGTTTTTTTTTTCAAGATTCAATAAAAAAGTGTAAAAACTGAAAATAAAGAACATTTATAATTGCACTTAATTCACTGTAAGATATTTAATCATATTCCTGAATGGTTTTAACACATTTTGATATTGGGTAGTGTAGTCAAGATATATAAGTATTGGTCCACATGGAAAACTGAATAATTATCTCTGTCGTCTGAGATGTATCGAATTTAAGTCAATTTTTACTCTACCTTTCAAATCCTTCAGACAAAGCGTGATTAGCTTTATATACATAGGTAAACAATTAAATAGATGATAGTATTACTCAAAGAGAGTTTTTTATCCCCTGCAAACCTTCAAAGTTTTTGTTTGGTCCTTGCTCAATTTACTGGCCTAAAATTCTGCTGTAAACTTATCGAAAACTCTACTTAATGACATCTAGCAAAATTTTTTTTTAAATATTTGGTATTTTTCATACAAATGAGATACGTAACAAAATTACAATTTTAGCTTTATCTTAGCAGCAGAGCATCCTATCCTATAACTGATGAAACAAATTTATAACCATGTCGTTAATTTCCAACCATTTTTAACACCTACAAATATTTAATTTATTTGATAGCTAGAGTTTTAATGTTGATTGTTTGAATTCAAAATTAATACTGCATCCAATTACGTCATGTTAAGTGTACACTATTCGGATACATCCTTATTTAATCTATATAGTAAAACAAGACATTCATATAGCCGGCCAAACAGCTGGACCGATTGGGCTGAAATTTTTTTGTGGACACTCATAGGTGGCTTGGGGGTGTTATAGGCTTAAAAAATAATGAAGTATTAAAATTAATGTTCTTTTTTTTACGTTTGCTTGAATTACTGAATACCCCTCTTCAAATATGTGACTAAGAAATACCGGCCGAATTATAAAATTTGTTGCACACCCAATGCGGCTAGTTTTTCAGGACATTGAATATATTTTGGACATCCTGTGCAGTATAGAAATTCCGTGCTTTAAGAAATTATAAAATATATTTGTGAGAACTGAGAACTAGACAAATAACAAGAAATAATGAATCTTAGCTTTTCCAACTTTTTGTTCAGGTTTCCATCTTTTAAGCCTGTCCTCCCTTGTCGTCTGTTAGGACATATTAATTCTAATATAGGACAAATTACTTCCTTTCTAGATTATTTAAGATCAAATAATTCCTTTCTAGAACTTTTAAGAATAAACACGTCCTTTCTGCTTTCTATAATATCATATCAGTTCCTTTCTTAATTTTGAATAATTTAATTGTTCCTTTTAGCTTTCTGTAAGTTTAAAAATCCTCTTTTTGTATTTTATAAAATTAAAATAGTTTCTTTTTATACGTTTTATGCATTTTTTATAATAAAATAAACAAATAGATTTAGCTTTGATCTACTTGAAAAGAAACCCATAGGATGCTTTTTTTATTGTTCTTATATATTCTTCTATATGTTCTTCTATATTATTAAGTAAATGATCTACTCAGACTAGTATGGCAGCCGCTAATTATATACAATGTAAAAGTATGTATATAATGTATATTGTATATTGTATACACTCTGTTCTCTGTATTTGCATAAGATTTTAAAGCCTGCACTCAACAATCCCACAGGAAATATTCAAATACTTGAGAAAACTTCAACACTGTTTTATACAATACATCCTAACCTTGATATATTCACAGGTTCAAGTTCTCCTCTATCCTGGAGACCTGGAGACTGGAGTCCCTGCTCAGGGTCCTGTAAAGGACACCAGAGTCGAACCGTCTCCTGTTTCATGACGTTCACGGAGCGGGATAAGTCCCAGGAGTACCCGGAGAGCTTCTGTGAGTCCGCGGGACTGATTAAACCTAAGACTATTCGAAGATGTGGTGGGGACTGCCCGAGGTGGATAAACAGTCCTTGGAGTCCATGCAATATTGCAGACTGTCTTTCTGCAAGGACAGGTTGGACTTTATTTCAGTTATAAGTTATTGCTGTTAATCGTTGTTAGATGTCACAGCAACATTCAAAATTCGTTTTAACATTCTTCTTTTTATGATATGAATAGAAATAAATTGAATCTTTGTCACAAACTTAGATTATTTGCTCTAACAAAATGCATAGGTACAAATATATAAGGTCTACGACATTGGGTTGCAAAGATTTAGGGATTAGAAAATAACTGTTTGTAGCAAAGACTCAATTCCTTTATTTATAATTTACACTATTATTCATTTAAATTAGTCCACCTTCTTCATATTTTTGTCCAGGATTGATGACTCGATCTGTTGACTGTGTCCAAGATGGCCGCCGGGTAGATGAAGAATTATGTTCTCCGGTACATCTTTCATCTCAGTTTGTTTGTTTGTCCGATCATAACTCATGAAGCCCTATTTTACGTTTTTTGGGGCGACATTGATAAACGCAAGGGGTTGTACTGAGCTTGATTAAAAATCCTAAATTAAGTTTGTTCACTTTCTTAATGACATTTTAGTTTCCCAGGCAAAGCTGGGTTCCCAAGGTTGTTTTATACTAATTTTTTTGGTTGTTATTATTATGGCTCCATTTTTAAACTCTATCTATTACAGTGCTCTAAGACCTGCGGTCGAAGCGATCGCAGACGATCTGTTTCCTGTGAATGGTTACGAGGCGGCCACGCTCCAAGCCACGAGTGCGAGGAAAACCGGCCTACCAGCCTCATGGCTTGCGAGGCTCCTCCTTGTGAATCCTGGGATCCTCTACCTGTAATCCAGGTTGCAGGACGTGACGGACGTGAGACAGGATCCCCGTGTCAGGACACTAGCAAGTTCTGTCCTGTTATAAAATCGTATAATATGTGCAACTCTTCAAAATATTCTGAACAATGCTGTAAAACGTGTTCTAGGTAGCTGAAAAATCAAAGATACTCTATTTCTCTTGAAAATTGTTAAAACCAGTGAGTGTAATATTTGGACCAGGCATAGCTGTTCAAGACTAAAATCATTAAAATCTGGAGATCTGTGACAAAGAACATGTTCCTACGACATTTATTCTGGTTTTTAATATTTATCTTGTGGCCCACCTCCCTCTTCTCCTTTTAGGGGGCCCATAGTAAAGAAAAATTTAATTAAGTCATTTCAAATCTTCTCGGACAGCTATTAAAGTTGTATACTTTAAATATTATCTAATTTATGTCCTAGCGCAGTTTTACTCAGCCAGGCTGAAACTTAAACGTCTCTAAATTATGATATTAACTAAACTAAACCAAGAACCAACAAAACCAAGGTTGGAATGGTCACTGTAATCTCAAACCAATATTACTTATATTGGGTTCAGAGGGAGAACAGAATAGAACTACTTAAAATAAATAAATTATTTAAAGGATTAATTAGGTTTCCTGATCAATTCATTAATCATTCAATTGATCTGGTGATTACAAGAGACCTGCATTTAATTCAATAATGGTCTAAAGTTGATCTTGGTCAACAGATCTTGGTTTAAAGTTGCTTTGGTTTACAGATCTTGGTTTAAAGTTGATCTTGGTTAACAGATCTTGGTTTAAAGTTGATCTTCGTCAACAGACCTTGGACTAAAGTTGATGTCAACAGATCTTGGTTTTAAGTTGATATTGGTTAACAGATCTTGATTTTAAGTTGATCTTTGTCAACTGATCTTGGTGTCATAGTTGATCTGACACAACAGATCTAGGTTTTAAGTTTATCCTAGTCTCAATTTGATCTTGGTCAAGAGTTCTCGGTTTAAAGTTGATATTTGTTTAAAGATTTTGGTGTTACAGTTGATATTTATCAACACATCTTGGTGTCACAGTTGATCTAGGTCAACATATCTTAGTATAAAGTTGATCTTAGTATAAAGTTGATCTTGGTGAGGAGTTCTTGGTTTGACAGTTGATCTTGTCAACAGATCTTGGTTTCACAGTTGATTTTTGGTTCAGATTTTAGTTCTTGGCTTTCACTAATTTAACAAGGCTTTCATAACTAATTGACCAATGAACATTTAATGTAAAAAAAACTCTGGAACCAGCTTCTCATGTATTTTAATAGCCTGGCCATGGGATAAAATTAATTCGATCATTGACATATTTTAATTATCTTGAATCTAGAAGTTTTCATTATTCCCTCTATTTTATAGTTCAATAGGTTTCTTCCAGGGAAATATAAGAATATTCATGAAAAGGTTTTTCAAAAAAAAAAATTCTGAAGAATTTTTTTTTTGTCTTACTTTTGATTGGATCCTGTCGTTTTCCAAAATAATATTAAATAACAAGAAAGGTCCTTTATCTCTCCCCCCCCCCCATTTCTTGTTTTTTTAATCTAAAGACTTTTCAATTTTAAACATTAATGATATCTTAACATCAAGATTTTGTTTTTTCTTAAAGGAATTGAGTCTTTGTCACAAACTATGATTTTCTAATCTCTATATCTTAGCAACCCAATGTCGTAAACCTTTGATATTTCTAACTATGAATTTTGTTAGATGAAAGAATCTAAGTTTAAAATATCAAAGGTTAGCACCATCAGGTGGCAAAGATATTGGTATTAGAAAAAAGTGTTTGTGAATTAGACTCAATTCCTTTTAGGAAAAAACTAATAAATTCATTCTTTTCTACAAAAACATCTTTCAAATCAATTTCAAAATTTGAATAAAATTTTTTTTTTTTAATTTTACTCCGTATTTGCTTTAAATTGGTGTTGTAGCTTAAACAGTTTTAAACGAGAAATTCTCATTAAAATTCATGCAAACACCATTAAACTTTGAAACTGAATAATTTTTAATGAGATTTTTATTTTTGGTCCAACCCTCTTATGGTTATTGAATACATTCAACTAATTTATACAGTTAATATTGTATAGAATTCAGTTTGTAAAAACTCTATGTATATTGTACAGTACACCTCTTGTTGGGCAAGGTACACCAGTTGATATTGTAAATAAATTGTTCTAATTTTTAGGTTGTAAATGTTGTACAATTTAGTGCACAGTGTACTGCAAGTACATAACCTAAAAATATCTTAATCTACAGATACCTTCCATCGTTATATAAATACTTTTGAAATTTCAGACTTATTCTTCGTATTTAAATAGATAGAAACAAAGCTCACATTTACGCTTTTTACGCAATATTTTCCTTTAAAAACGCATTTGTACGCACAAGGATGGAAGGTATGTGTAAGCTGTGATGAAAGGCTGTGAAATATTATTGTTTTCAGATTTCAAAATTCTGGGTTGTAATTTTCAGGCTTGCAACCCCGATTTTTGGAAAAAATCTTAAAAACTTGTTTTTTTATGTAGGATTCTTATAAATCTTATAAGGATCCTACTTTTAAAAAACTCCTCTTTATGTAGTATTTTTTGCTCAAAATACTTATCTCCTGTATTTGCTATTGTAGACCCCCCCCCCCGTACAGTGTAGATTGGGTTCGTAGTTTGCGAAAATATTTTTGAGGATTTATCCTCCAAATGTTCCTTCGTCATAAATACATAGATATTTGTAAATTTAAATGTTTAGATTTGAATAAAATATATTTCAATTCTCTCTATCTAGGATTGTACGATGTTTGACTGTATGTCTGAAGCTCATAAACTAAGTTTCAATGAACTCTAATCCTATCTGGATTTTGCCAATATGTCCTCCAAACCTAGAACTGGTAGCAAGTGCTTTGCTGCATGTAAAAATCTAAATACAGTAATAAAACCAAAAGTCAGCAGACTAAACATTACATTATGATTAAGCTATATATTCATTTGCGGAAGGCTACCAAGCCAAAGCTCATGTTTTGTTGATAAGGTATATGGGGGGGGGGGAGTCTGGGTGGTCCTTGGCTCCCTTAGAAACCACAAAATAAGTTGTTTAACATTCTTTACTGAAATTACAGAGAAAATGTGGTTTCTCCTAATATCAGAACTAACTAGGAATTAATTGGGTGGATGAGGAGTTGAAAGGAAAACTAGGAGTATATCTTTATATATAGATATATATAAAGTTATAATCTCTGTTTGTATGTCCTTTTATAACTCAGGAACCCTTGAACCGATTTGCCTCAAATTTTGATTGGGGCACTCGGGAGACCCACAGGAATGTTCTTAGTTTAGTATTGAGATTATAAGTTGAGAGGGTCGACCTTTTAACAGGAAAAATAGCTAAAATCGTTTCTTACGACAAAGGGCGGGTGAACGGTGGGACTAACTATGACTCTCCTGGGCAACACTGGGTTCCCAAGCTAATACAAATAATACTCAAGAAATATCTCTTATTCTCCATATAGTTTGAAAGGTTAATAAATAGATGCGTGCAGTAAGAGAAATCTATATATATTAAATTTTACTTGTCTGTCTGTCTGGTTGAATCCAATAAACGGCTAAACCGATTGGGTCCAACTTTTGTACGGCAACCCACATGACCCGACGCCTTACAAGTGGCAATCTCTTGGCATATATCTTTTCTACATACTCTGAACTCCTATAACTGCAATGTAAAGAAGAGGTTCAGGTTTACTCTGAGTATCACAAAAACCATGCAGATGGAAAACCATTTTCTTCCAGCTGGATGAAAAATCATGTTTATCTCCGGGAGTAACTAAAAATAGGGAATACTAAGATATTAAATTTTATCCAATAGATAAGCCACTCAAATATACGATGCCTATCTTAAATAATGAAATTAGGTTTTCAAGAAAAGGTTCAAATTTTTAACTTCGATTTGCTGTATTAAAGATTTACAGGGTTATCCACAAAGGATGAAACGTTAACTTCAAACTCTTGAATTCTTGGAACTCAAGGTTTGATTTGTCCTTCAGTCTGAAATATAGTCTTATTAAGTTTACCAAATTATTTTTGAAGAAAAAAAAACAAGGTTAAAGTTGTAGGGAACATTTCACACTGATTTTATAATTCGGTCCTTGGTCTAGTAAACTATGACTTTCGATCAAAATCTGACATTTTGTCAACATTTTTTTTTTCGGCTGATACATTTAAAATAAAAGGCTAATAAAAACAACTTTGGAAGTTTAAAGCTTGTCAAATTATTGACCAAAACGGGGTTTAATTAAAATTGAAGAACACTTCAGCCCTGGTTAGTCTAGAGTTATTATCTCATTAAAAATTAAGCATTAAAATCCCTTCAAATTTTTACGGTTTTAGTCGAGTAAAATGTTTTATCTCTTTCGCTTGTCATGGTTTTTGAATACTCCAAGTTTAGACTGAATCCCGTTGAGTCCTAAAGTTGTAAAATGCAATCAGAAAACAAATATATTCATGTAATATGCACTGTCCTGCATTAACTGAGAGTTCCTTACAATAGGGACTGTAGCTCACTATAGTTTCAGTAGAAGTAAATATTTCCATTTACTGATTCATAATTCTAATTGGATAATGAGATAGATAGAAAGATAAATGTTACCGCCCAGTAGCGTACACAGGGGGGGGGGCAGTAGTTCTCTTGCCCCCCTGGGATTTTTGGGCAAAGGTAAAAATCAGGTGTTCTGGGTAAAAAAAAGAGCTTGCCCTCATCAACAAAGGGGTGTTTCCCCCTTAAAAAGTATAGTTGAAAATTTTCTTGGCGCTTCACGCCATTTTTTTAAAAAATTTAACGTAGTATTTCAATTTTATCTAAAATCTCCACCCCACTGCATACTTGATAAACAACTATAGATTGCTATATGCATTATGCACAGACGCGTACACAGTGGGGGGCAGTAGTCCTCGTGCCCCCCCTGGGATTTATGAGCAAAGGTAAAAATCAGGTATTCTGGGTAATAAAAAAGAGCTTGCCCTCATCATCAAAGGGGTGTTTTCCCCCTTAAAAAGTATAGTTAAAAAATTTCTTGGTGCTTTGCAATTTTTTTCAATTTTACCTTTTGTTCGTGGACTACAAAGGTAAGTAGTCTCAGGAATTGAGAGAACTATTCAGAGGGATACATTATAATATATAGTCCTTGAATCGGGACTACAGAGAGGTTCAGAATAGACATCAAACACATGACTAAACCCTGATTGGATTAGGCGCTATAATGGACTCGGCATACACGAGTGGTAGACGTAATTTCAAGTGACATCATTATCCCATTTAGAGAGGCCCATGCAAACACTCCTCGTTCTTTAAAAACTATGAAAATGTCCTCGGTTTTTTTGTCTAAAGATTGATAAATTAATTCTGTGGTTTTCTGCAGCAGAGAAATAGAACGTAATTTACAGAATTTAACAGTTTTTAAGATGGAAAAACGAGGATATCTCCTCTGTTTTTGCTCAGACAAAGATTGGAAGGGTACAGTTGTGAATCTGGCAAGCCATTTGAAATTACGTCAGCAGTATTATCTTCAAGTTCAAGTGCCCGGCGTTGCACGTGGAATATTAAAATTATTTGGGGGGAAATCCTTATTTTTTCCCCCAGCATAATTCCTCCTAGATAGTTCTTCAAAATCTAATTGTTCTGAAGATATGTATTTTTTAAAGTAAATATGTTAATCAAGCGAGCTTAGAAAAAATTATTTTACCTACATTGATAACCAGAAAACTCTGAAATAGGAAGACGACTTTTAAACTCAAGTTAGGTCTTAAACTAGCTCAATGTACATTAATCATAGCAATTGTACAGTGTAAATAGACCCTTTTTAATTAAAATGTGCTTTCCTAAGTAAATAGTAAAAATATTTGCTTTTTAACAACATCAAAACGCTATAATTATATATTGTCGTCTTTCTATTCCTTTGTTTTCTGGTTATCACTGTAAAGAAATTTAAAGCAAGAAATTAATCTCCCCTCCGGACAAGAAAGATTAAACCTTTTTTTCCAAATTTATTTTGAATGCAAAATTGTTTTATAATTCTAAAATATTTTTTCTTGGTATATCCTGTACAGTGTACACACCCCCCCCCCCCCCCCCCACGTAAGACAAGATATAAATATATTTAAAAACTTTTTAGACAATTTGCAAAGTTTGGGAGAAAAAAGTCTTACTCGGACATTTGTACAAATAGCAACATTAAAATGTAATTTTTTCAAACTGAACCGTATAAAGACTTGTTTTTCTTTTTCAATACGTAATTGGTAAAAATTTTACATTTTTACCTTTTTACATGTTATTTAAAAACTTTAAGATAGGATGAAAATATTCTTGGTTAAAGGGACTATAAGTATAATTTTCAGGTACCCTTAAAGGGAGTGACCGGCACTGTTTGCTAGTTGAACTGAGATTGCAGTATTTTTTTAGGATTCATTTGAGACCTATCAGACGTTTTTACGGTGCATATTTGTTCAGCAAATTCAATATTTGAAATAATCGTTGATTGTCCATTTTGGAGGGATTATTTTGAGAATTGGTTTTATAAAACTTATTATTCAAAAACGATGTAGAAAAATGTACAACAATTCGAAAACAGTTGCGCGCAAAGGATTTGCTATTGGAAACCCTAATTGGCGGTCAATCCCTTTAAAAGCTTTGCCAAATCAAGTTTGAAATATATATTTATGTTTAACATTTGTAAAGATAATTATTTTCAATTGTAGTTTCTCTTCAAATGTGACTAGATCAACCTACTGAAAAACATTTAGAAATAAACCTAGAAAAACGACAATATCTTCGACATTATTGATCCGATAACGGGTTCAAGAGTATTGCCATCTTTACATGTAAGGTCGCGTGAAAGTACGCTTACAGTCCCTTTCAGTGAAAATGTTTAATGTTAGATTCAATTTGCTGTTTATTAAATATATTTTCTATATGTTCAGATCAAACTGGAGACTCGTCTTTTTGTTATGAGTAAATGAGGTGGATTGTTACCAATCAGCGGGGAAATATCTCTATATTTGACTTCTCTCAATATATAGTATACACCCTTTAGGCTTCTTCTTCCACCTTGAGTCAAGCAGAATAACTTCAAATCCATTTCAATGATCTTGCTTCTATCTGGAGCAATGCAATCTTGTCTGTAGTATTCTTTCTCTCACCCTGAGCCGTATATAATTTTCGTACTTATATCCGACTATAGTGTTCTTTATCTCACCTTGGACCTTAGGGATCTTCTCCTTACCCTGGGATATGCATTACATAAATCCGTCGTTAGTGTGCTTCAACTTCTTACCTTGAATCTAGTATATATACAATTACATAAATATACTTTGCTTGTAGGTCTATCTTTCTTTCCATTTGTATCCATTAAAGGGACAAACAGCCTATGTAAGGTACAGGGTGTTCCACGAAACATGACAATAGCAAGACGACTTGAAAGTCGTCTTTGGTATTTGAATTTATTTGTGACATTTAGTCTTCTATCTACTTTAACATGTATATTTCTTGAAACAACTATCACATAATTCTTCTAGCCCTGGCATTTCCAAAAAGTGGTCTGCGTTTTTTGTGCTTTCAATAGTACTGGAGATATAAAGAGTTTGGTTCAAATTTCAATTTTGTTAAATAAAAGCAAAATTGTCGAAATCTGAACGAAATTCTTCATATCTCGGGCAATATTGGAAGCACAAAAAAGGCAGACCAAATTTTGGAAATGGCAGGACAAGGGAAATTTTGTGGTTATTATCTCTAGAA